GGGGGGGGGGGGGGGGGGGGGCACTTAGGGTCCAGGGGGATTCGGTCTCCATGGATTCCCCCCTCCCCTCTTCCCCAAATACCCCGACCTGCTCCTTGCTCTTAATAGTAGTTTGCCCAGTATAAGCCCAGTGGGAGACATACGATTTGATCATCGCGCGATTAGTATTAATCAGTTTTCTCCACAGCTCTGTTTTACACCCATTAATGTGGCTGGGATATATATATATATTTTTTTACATTTATTTTATTTGCTGAATCAGTTCAGGTTAAATGCTTTTCTCCAGGGTAACAGCAGAAGAGCGTCTCTCGGGAGCCAAACCAAGAGCGTCTGCCTGTTTACCAGCGGGGCCTCTGTGGACGCCCGGCCCTGTTTGCGTGCAGAGGGGCCAATAGCCTGGTGTATGAGGCTTGTGACATCACCGCAGGGACAGGAAACAGGTCCACGTTACTCTGGCAGCACGGCTCTCCCGCTTCTCACTCCCATCATGCTCAGGGAGCACCCCAGCCCTCCCAAAGGCCCTATGTTAGTCTGAGCATTTCTCTTATAGACCATGTGAGAGAACCTGGGTGAAGCTCTCATCCAAACTACCCTCACACTTGCGTCTGGCCCGGGTCAGCGTAAACCTCATATCCTTTTCCACGGCGCTGCATCGATTCTGCCGAAATCCAATCAATTTCAAATGGTTCTGACATTCAGATATGACCTTAAAGCGGGGCGATCCGTGAGCTATGATTAGGATTAAACTTTTCCTAATGAGCCTATTATTCTTCCACAGGGGCATCAGAGGAGACCTAGCAAGAGCGGGTCGGTAAAAATTAGATCAATTATACTAAATTATACAGGTTTAACTTGATTAGCGAGCCCGCTCTAATTTGCGTAATTAATAACCTTCTTCTCACAAGAGGAGCAGTTTATTAATAACAATCTATACTGGTGGCCCATGCCCCTTTTTAATGAGGCGGCAGAGCTGGGTCATCAGTTAGGCAGGTGATGTCATAATCAATGGCAGCAAACACGCGCGTTAATTAAAGCGCTTATTAATTGTTACAGTTATACTTGAAAGCTACACGCTGTCGGCCACGCCGTCCCATTACTTACAGCAGGCCGCGGATTCAAAATGGCAAATCTAATTAGTCATTCGGCGTGTACGCTGGGAATTACAATGAGGCAGCTGGCATGCATGGGGCAGCTCACAATGCAAGCGGAATAAAGGGTCCTTTATCAGCGGTTCAGGGACAGGGGAGGATGCGTCGCGGGGGAATAAAGGAATTCGCAGTGCCGGCCCGCCGTATCTGCGCGTCGTTTACTGAGCTCGCTTTCCTGGGAACACTTTTGCACGATTTTTGTCCGACCCCTGCGCTGACTCCGGTCTCCCACTAGGAGGCGATGGTGCTTCTCCGTGCCCCAGAGGACACAGAGGTCAGAGGTCAGACTTGGCAGCAGTACAACTCTCTCCCCACCCACGGTTACCTTATTTGAACTTCACTGGCAGGGGCGATATTAGGAACTTCACCATCAATCTGAAGCAATAAGGGACACTCCCCCACGCCCCCGGTGATAAGCCCTGAGGGGGGTAAGAGAGAAATCACTAAACGAATTAAGAAAAATACATTTTCAGGGAGGATGAGACAAATATATAGTGGGTGAGCCCACCATAAATAGGGTTGAGAATCGCCTGTGTTCAGTGGCAACCCTTCCAGTTTTAAAATGGTTTCCAAACCACTGCATGCCTGACCATTAGTGACCAGTCTGAGTCAACCACGTTTTCAGGTCTGTGTCATACATACTGTACATAATATCTACAGTTTGAACACAGTCAGGATCACGGGATTTGTTCTAGATGAATGATCATGCAGTGCAGTATTATTTGAGAGCTAAGTGTGGTCAGTTGGTAGCCCCATTCTGACTGAGGACGTCATTGCGGTTGGTCAAGATGCTTTCCAGTCAATGACGTGGCTCCCATTGTTCAGATGTAAATTGCCTAAATTTAAACTAGTTGTTTTTCCAGTTGCCCTAATTAGTTCAGCTCATGTTTATCCTTTAATGCCCATTGCGTTAATGCAGGCAGGTCAATAATCTTGTTTATTCGCCAATTAAAATAAAAGGTCACCAATTATCTAACTGCATAATACTCACATAGGGAGCAGCTAATAAACAAGTATAATGTATTAATATTTAAAACTCTACTGCCTAACTGCAAACAAATGTGTATCTGTATAAGTGATACTTACGCCCTATGAATATGAATTATCATTTTTATGCAAACAACTGTGTATCTGTATAAGCGATACTTACGCCCTATGAATATTAATAAACATTTTATGTGAACAAATATGTAACTCTGCAAGTGATACTTATGTCCTATGAATATGAATTGTCATTTTAAATAAATAATTTTCACTGAAATAAGCCAGGTATGTTCTCAATGTTCACACACTTGTTTTTTGAGCGGAAATTTCCACTCATGGGTTTTTACTGCAGAGTCCAAGCAAAACTATAACCATACCCCCAACAATGGAATTAACTGTGTTGCTCTAGCCTTGGTATAACCCAGCATGTCAAAAATAAGAATCATTTTAATGACAGTTTCAGCATAATCAGTTAAGGCTACATCAGCACTAGGATAATCAACCATTCTTAGGCTCTAATGAAATTATTATTGTCTTCTGCAGAAAATGCCATGGGCTGGTAGATATTGATAATGGATTAATTGATTCTTGACTGGTGGCATCAATCAAGAAAATCTATTTACTTCCAGGTGGGGTGCCTTCCTTCTTCATTTTCTGTTTGTTTGTTTTTTTTTAACAATAAATACATGCAATAAATATTAGTACTTTGTTACTCCTAAAATCCCCAGGTCTTGTTTTATAATACTTGTTTGAAAACTTCTGGTTTGTTCTGTGCCTGCTTTTATGAATTTGCTGTTATTGCCAGGTTTGGAAAGAGGCTGTTTAGTAGATTATACTGACTATAACAAAAAAGTAAATGAGAATCCTTTCATGTATATGTAAGGGAGGGGAGAAACAGGGTGATTGAGTTTTAAAACCTTTTTTTCTGTTATGTAACTTCTTAAAACTAATTTGGTTAGACATAAATGACAATGAAAAAGAAAACCTAATCCTGGTTTTTACAGGTTATTTGCATGAACGTAATTCATTCATTGTATATTTTAAAGTAATGTTTTTCTTTTTTTTTTAATGTTCACACTGCCGTTTACAGTAAATTGACTCTACCGTTGGACCCGGCTACTCTTATTAATGATAATTTACTCTCTTGCGCCCTCTAGTGGACCGATGTGAAATGCCATCATCTGGTTGGCCCGACACACTTAAGGAACTTAGGCGGAGCATTTTTTTACCTGATATATTCATTAGTATTTTGAAACACGTGGTCATTATTATTTGTTCCCATTAACACTCTCATTATGAATAAAATAGTAAGAACAATTCATACAGTGTGGTACCTGAGCACGTACATATGAGAAAAATCAAATTGCCCTCCATAGGCCGAAGACAAGCCCCACAGACTTGGAGGCTGCATCAGAGCAGTGAAGAGCAAATGTACATCACAACTCAACAGTTACACTAAATGTCCACGTGTTACACTGAGCAGACTGTCACTGATTATTTAAGGGGTCTACACCAGTGGTTTTGAAGGAGGGTTTGCCGTGGCACATGAAACGTTTTTGGGTTATAAATATTTATAGTAGTAATGCATGTATGTGATTTACATGGCTGCGACTCTGGATTTATATAAAGTGATTTATCTACGACTCTGCCTTTTAAAACGGCGGTGGGAAAGATGTTATTCCATCTGTGTCCGTACCGTTTATCCAGTTAGTTTTGCGGGGGTCTGGAGACCATCCTGGGAAGTGTAATGTCATGGTTCTCTGTGAGTGGTGTGCAGGTTCAGCACCGTTCACTCTCACGCCAAGGGCACTGCAGTAAGCATGGGGAGATACTGTATTGTCATCTCCACAAACAGCGCTGCAGCTCTGAGAACTTTACACTCTTTAAATTACAGAAATCATATATGCCTACTATTTTTTTATATATATAATTTGAAAGTACCTCTCATAATGAATTCTGACAGGTTGTTTTCCAAAATGCAGCTCTCACTAATTCTATATTAATATATTTGATACAGGGGTCAACTGAGTCCTTGTGTTGTTTTAAAAATTAACATATTATAAATAACTGAAAGGAAATGAAAGGCTAACAGTATCTCTTTGTCTGTGTCTTAATGTCCATGTCTTAAAATGTCATGCTTCTGCTGTTTGTATTGACCAGTATTTATATTCTATTTATTGTTTTTCATTTGCACTATTAAGAACGAAATTTAACTTCAGTGTCCCACCCCATGCAATAAAAGATCGTTTGGCTTCTTTTTTGCCAGTATTGTTTTTCCGCTTCCAGAATATACCACATACGCAGTTTTAATTCTAATCCGGTTAAAATGCGCTGGGATGTGCGGTTTCGCTCGAGAATGTCATCTGCCGGGGTCCCTCTCGCCATCGGCATCCTGACGTCACATCTGTCTGGTGCCTACGGACCGCAGAGAGCGGGGTATAGTGCCGGAAGGGGGGGCGGGGCGTAACCCGCCAGCCAGCTTGTGTGGCATCACGGCAAACACCTGTAAATAATTCAGCGTTAAAGGTGACAGTCGGGCAAGGGGTAGGGGGGCGGAAAGGGGAGGGGGGCGCAGGTGTGCCGTCTGTACCCTACATTACATTGCCAGCCCACCACACATTAGCACTTTGCTCAAAATCCCTGAGAATATTCTGGGTGGGGGGGGGGGGGGGAGCAGACTTGCCCCCTATTCAAACAAAGTGTGGCAATGAGCAATAAAACCAATTCACACCCTAAGTGAGAGACACGCCTCTAAATATTACGCACACACCTTGCCCGTGTGTGCTGTGGCCCCACCTGCCAGCTAGGGGCACCAACATCTGCCAGCAGCTGCTCCGGAGGCACTGCGAGGCGCGGCTGTAGCTCGCAATCCCACCGTTGATTATCGTTCCGAGGTGACAGCCTGCCAGAATCGGCGCCAAGCCCAAGGGGGGGGGGGCTGGGAGGAAGAGAGGAAGGCTTGGTACGTGAATTGATGGGAGGGGAGGGATATTTAGTGTCACCCCCGTGTCACCGCACACAGCTGTGGCATCTCGGCGAGAACATGTGTCTTTTAAACCTGCCTTCATGTGAGGTCCTAGCTTAACGTCACAAGGCGAGTCTCGACGTTTTGGGCGGTAGACGCCGGCACTCACGTTTTCTTTGCACATTTGTCATTCTGTGTCACATAGTCCCAAGCCAGCCTGAGATGCCTCAATCAGTATCCGCCCAAAAAACACAACAGGACCTCCCTGATTTGCCTCGCTGCTTCATTCACAGATCACCCGCTTCAAACACCAACACACTGAGACAACTTTGAGCTCCCAGCTGTAAATGAGCCTGTTCAGTAGTTCGGATCATTTCTCACGCTCCCTCCCAACCCCCGTTTCACCTCCACATCCGAATCGCCATAGGACCTGAGTGACAGAATGCGATAAGCTGCTGTCCCAGGCTCCGCTGGACCTCGGGAAAGTGTCCACACGTTCTACCAGGCTCCGCTTTCCCTCAAACGTCTTGACAGGCTTTGTTGCCGCTATTAATTCGGGGCCTCGCTTTAATTATCTTGGCCGCGTCCCACACCATGAGGGGAAGCTGATGTCGTACACGGCACGGTTCCGGCAGCAATCCCGACATTATCGTCCCGCGAGGTGAGCGGAGTAATGTAATGCAGGATCAACGGCACGCTAAAAGTCTCTTTCCCTGGAGGCCGGAAGTCAGTCGCTAGCTTGGCATGCTGCATGTGACGGGCTGGCAGGAAGCCTGATGTCTGACCAATGAGGAGGGACAACAGGGGTGTGCGACAGGATGACACTATGCACTGACTGTGGGATGTGCGAGAGCCGGATCATTCCAGAATTTGGCCTGACCTCGGTCTGCAAGGGTCAGAATCCTGCCTCATAATTCCTTTACTGGGGTAGTTATTTTGAAAGCAAGTCACTGACCTTGTGTTAAAGTGTCTATCGGGTGCTAATTAAAATGGATCCCCTAATCTGGCGCACTCATAGTTTAAGAATTCTGTCCCACCGCGATAGTGTTAGTTTGACCCTAATGTTTAGTTCTGTATAAAATTTTGATGCTATTGGAGCTGCAAAGGCTGATATGGATTATGGCGTTTAACCTCTGGGTCTCTAGTGTGAGATTCATATTTACAATGGGTTAAAAACCCATACAAAATAGACCGAAAATAGCTTTGTGCATAATCCTGGGAATCTGTCAAAGCAGTTATTCCCTGTGATACTGAAGAGCAAGATGTCTCTGCTCTGCAGTTATGGAAATCATGCTGCAATTTAGAATTCTGCTCAGACATTTGTGAGAAGATGAATTACAGAATTACAAATACAGTTGTGTATTAATGCACAGAAGGATGTGCAAATTATAAATAGCAGTTACAAATATAACATGGCAGGCGGTTTACATAGTAAAATACAGTATTTTTCAAAAGCAGAAAGGTCACGTTGGTGTGAAATGCAGCTCCAGGCAAAGCTAAAACAATTATCCTCGCACGTTTTTATTCACTAGAGCCGTGAAGAAACGAAGACGTCTGTAAACTCAATAGAGCAATAGAGCACCTAGATGCTGTAAATATGGTGGAGAAATGTGGTGTCGGAAAACATGAAAAATACTGTAATTTGAAACGGAATAAAGTCACTGCCATTACATACACACACAAAGATTTGTGTAACACTAACCGGAGCGGTATGTTACCTTTATTGTTTTCCGAATTCAATGTCACGTGCTCTTCGTCTCTCGATCTCTTCCTCCTATCCAACTATTTTAGCCGATTGGCGTCTTTTTAAAACAGGACGACAGCCATAAATTACCATAAGTTTAAATATGTATTTCTGTGATGTGTCAATCTTGAAACTTGAAGAGGAATCGGAAATTTTAGAGATTAATTGCCAAGCGATAGTTGACAGTAATCGAAAATTAATCAAAGCCGACATTCAGAACCTCTAATCGACGTGATCTTGCCCAATAATATAATATTAAATATTCTGTTAATACTTAAAAAAATATATGTATGCTAATACTTTCCCCAGTGTGTTCATGTACCGTTCCCTTAAAAACATACTACCGCGTGTCCTGTCACGTGACTCCGCCCGTCCAATCTGCGACGTGGAAGCAGCGTGGAGGCGAACTCAAACACCGAGCTGACGGTTTCATTTCAGTAGCTTGTATACCAAAGAAAAATGCCGTGTCCGTCGTTTGGACATATTGTGGCTTTAGTGAAGATGACACCGAACAAAAAGAGGTCAAATACAAACACTGCGGAAATACTGTTTCAGCTACCAATCGGTTTAAATACTAGCAATATTAAAAATACTGTGGAAACCGCTTATATTGATCATGGTTTTTGTGATCAGCCGCTTATATGGATCAAAAAGCTTGGGACAGAATCATTCCTCTTCAAATACTGTTTAAATAATTTGCTTATAGAAATCAAGTAGTCCGCATACGTTGTTCATTTTGGGAGTTTTTATACATATGGAAAAATGTTGAATTACGGTAATTCTTTTAACTTGTCATGTGATGTGGGAGACCTTCCGTGATAAGACCCTGAAGGTTGCCGAGGGTTGTGTTGGTGTTGCCAGTGTTCCCAGAAGGAGGTGTTTCATCTCGCAGGGCACCCTGGATATTATCGAGAGGAGTCGCAGCGCACGACTTGATGGCAACTCCAGTCTGAACCGGGAATTGAGAAGGATGGCTGTAAGGGCTCTGAGGGCAGATAAGGAGGCATTTGTTAGACAAATCTGTGAGCAGGTGACACACCATCTGTGGTCTAGTGACCCACGTCCTGCTTACAGAGGAATCGAAGCATTACGCACATCTGAGTCTGTTCCTCGGAGATTTGCAGTCAGGGCGGGTGACAGAACGGTTCTTATGGGTGACACTGCAGTTGTGACTCGCTGGTCCAACTACTTTCAGCAGTTGTTTAAAGCTGACCCTCCAGCTAGGATGTTGGACATCTCTGGGTCCATGGTTCAAATGGGACTTGTGGTCCCTATCTGGAAAGGGAAGGGTGATCGCCTGGATTGCGACAACTACAGGGGGATAACCCTGCTCTCAGTGCCGGGTAAGGTCCATGCTAGGGTCATCCTTAACAGGATCCATGATCACTTGCTTGTCTGTCAGCGACCGGAGCAGTCTGGTTTTATGCTTAAGAAGTCTACCATCAACCGTACCCTTGCACTGAGGGTTGTCATCGAGCATAAGAATGAATATCGGCAGAGGCTCATTGCAGCCTTCGTCAATTTTCATAAAACGTCGACTCGGTTGATCGAGTTGCCGTGTGGGACATCCTGAGACTTCGCGGGATCTCCCCGAGGTTGCTGGACGTCATGGCCGGCCTGTACACTGGTACTGTGAGTGCTGTGCAGAGTGGAGGGAGAACCTCTGGGTTCTTCTCAGTTGATTCTGGGGTTCGCCAGGGGTGTGTTCTTGCTCCTACTCTGTTCAGTGCTTGTATGGACTGGGTGTTGGGCAGAGTCGTGGGGTCCAGCAGCTGTGGGGCATCTGTTGGTGAAGAAAGATTTACTGATCTTGACTTTGCTGACGACGCTGTGATCTTAGCAGAGTCAATGGAGGCTGTGATCAGGGCTCTAAAGAGACTGAGTGAGGAGTGGGATTGCGGGTGTCCTGGATGAAGACCAAGATCCAGGCATTTAATGACTTCTTGGGCACAGCCATCAGTAGTGTGTCTGTCTGAGGGGAGAATGTCGACCTTGTCGAGAGATTTACCAACCCAGGCAGCGACATTCATGGCTCTGGTGACTCTTCCTATGAAGTCAGCAGATGGATCGGAAGAGCATGGGGGATAATCAGGTCACTGGAAAGGGGTGTGTGGCGCTCCTGATATCTATGCAAGAGGACGAAGGTCCAAGTCTTTAGAGTCCTGGTGCTCCCTATCTTGCTGTATAGCTGTGAGACATGGATGCTATCCAGTGACCTGAGACGAAGACTGGACTCCTTCGGTACTGTGTCTCTTTGGAGAATCCTTGGGTACCACTGGTTTGACTTTGTGTTGAATGAAAGGTTGCTAGAGGAGTCCCGATTGAGGCACATTACCTGCATTGTAAGGGAGCGTCAGTTACAGCATTAATCCCATGTGGAGCGTTTCCCTGAGGGTGATCCGGCTCTCAGGATCCTCATTGCTGAGGACCCAAGCGGCTGGATCAGGCCAAGGGGACGCCCACGTAACACCTGGCTGTGAGAGGTAGATGGCCATTTCGGGAGGGTGGGACTGGACCGTGCATCTGCCTGGGGGATTGCCGGCCAGGATCCAGAAGAGTTTCGCTGTGTGGTGGGTACCTGCAATATGTATTCAGTACAGCTTTGTGCATTTTTTTTAGGTTCTGCCCATTCCTGAACCTTGATCCTGGGCCAGTGCCCAGTGAGACGCCCGACCCCCTCCAAAGGGGAGTGATCAGGCCCACGAAGACGATGATCCGCCAGCGGTGGCAGCAGATTAGCTGTTTAGCGTTAGCACAGCCCAGGCCCCAGCGGTCCATCTGCTTTGATTTTATTTAGCAATTCCCCCCTGGGATTGGAGCTGGAGTGAGAATAACAATACTTTAGCCCATCTGCTCCCCCAGCTAAATTATCGCATGCGAAGGGCGGCTGGCATATGTTGTCACATAAAGCTACAAGAGAGCATTGTGCACCAGCTGCTGTGCTGACGAATACTTATCTGGCAGTTATGAACTTACCGCTGGGCCTCCAACTTTTAGCCGAAAGCCAGCAGCGTATGAGTGGGGTGCCAAGGGCGGCAGGGAGAACGGAGGTCATATGACCCAAAAGGAGGAACAGCTGGACACACAGGCCCTTTCAGTTAGAACCAACCTCTTCTTGCGTGGGTGTCTCGGACCTTGTACGCTGACAGACAGGATTGTACATTTAGTCAGGAAATGACTGCATAAGGATCCGTGCGTGTTAAAAACTTTCATGTACTAAAAAAGTTTTTAAAAAGCAGAGAAACATAACGCCATGTACATCTACAACCTCAAAAAACAATCATTGTGTCACCCAGTGACCCATGGAAAGATCTTGGAACTGTGGCCACCCCCAGGGGCGTAGTAAACGAGGGGGGCATGTACCCCTCAATATTTAAGTTGGTTCCCTCCCCTAAATATACCTTTGTTTTTAAATTGTATTAAGCTTTGACTTCCCCAATATTAACTCCCCTCCTATGACACTGGCCACCACCAAAATGATGGTAACAATACTTAAAGCCAGGCTCAAAGTATCTCCATATGTATTAATGCTCTGATTTCTTCCACATCCCCATCCCATTCCATGCAAAAACACATAGACGGGTGCTCATTCAAAATAGGTTCTTTTATTTTAGTTAACATTGATGGAATCAGCAGTGAATGATGTGTGGTAGTAACACTGAGCTATTTGCTTCTTTCCTGTACATGTGGTTCCCTGGGGCCAGTTCAGAAGCCTTTATAGCTACTATCCAGTGTGTCCATATGCACCTCCGCTGGCTTCATGGGGGATGGGTGTGATATAGCCATCGCTGGCCTAGACAGGCAGAGTGCCTTAGGAAAAGGCAGTTTGTGGTGGGGGTGGGGGTGGTGATGGTGGTGGGGGTGGGGGGGGAGGACATTATACCATTCGCTGCCTGTGAACAATGACACACAGCAGTGTTGGTGAAAGGGGTCCTACTACTGGCTGTCCCCCACTGATTTTACTGGTGATGGACAATAATGCTTCATGAACCATTTGTTGTACTTTTTCACCCCACTAGATGGAGCTCTTTGTACAAGAGCGAGCACAAAGCATGCCCCATAGCAAACCAAGAGCACCATCTAGTGTTGTCAAAAAATACAGCAAATGTTTCATGAAACATCATTTTGTCCATCATTACATTTTACTGTACTGCGTGAATTTATATAGCAGACAATTTTATCCAACGTGAAACAGATTCACGACAGCAGGGCCTGTGGTTGAATTAGGCCTTGCTTAAGGGCCCCATGGTGATATCACTCTGCTGACCCTAGGATTCAAACCAGCGACCTTCTGATCAGAGGCATGGTTCACACCCACAGAACCACATACTGCTTCACACTCACTGAGTGTTCAGTCTGCTCCAGGAGTCAAAACTGTTTCAGTTTTATTTATTCTTTTAATGGGAAGGCTTGTATCCCAGGCCATGGTGGGATGAGTAACAACATGCCAATCCTAAGGCATAGAACAGCTTGCTTATTTCCCACAATGCAATGCTGTTAATACACTGGCAGGATACTGCTGTAGCTAGTGGAAGCATTAAGTGAGAGAAAATGTTATAACAAATAAGAGCCGTTGCAAATAAAAGCTAATGGCTTGTTAAATGGTAACAAAAGCAACTTAGCCAAACGTTTCACATCGACACCTAGGTCAGCTTTGCAAGAGCAGGCCTGAATCCCAAGTTTTTATGTTTGAGAAAGCATAGAGCTTGGATTTTTTAAAGAGGGTACCCTGAACTGTTTCAAATGAACAGCGTATTAGAACACAACCTGGTACATGACCCCTGCAATATGTATTAACATTTGTTCCGAATGTTGACCCATGCAAAATGACAGGAACCATGACAGATTCTCAAAACTGTCAGAGCAACAGCACACAAAACAATTCATATAGAGTTTAAGTACTATTTATCTTTTCCAAAAAAAACTTCCATTTATATATTTTGGTTTCAATTAGACAATTTAGTTACAGTGGATGGAACTTTTACACGCACAACCTTTCCCAACTCCTTTAACCACTATATACATTTTCACTTTTTTTGCATTTATACATAAATATACATATATATGTATGTGTGTGTGTGTGTGTGTGTGTATGTATATATCTATATATATATACACACACATACATATATATATACATACATACATACACACACACACAAACACATGTATGTACGTATATATATTATATATACACATATATACACACACACACACACTTTTTTATTTATTTATTTTTTTTAAAGCAACGAAGTCACATGAAGCCCTGATGTAAAGCCAGGGACAGAGACTCCACTCCTGATTATATGGTGAGTCTTTTCACTCTTCTGTTGTGTCGGACGCCAACAAGAGGCTTCCGCTTCAAGTCACAGACATGTGCACTTGAGCACACACACGCACTCGCTCACTCACACACTCACACCCCTCTCCACCACGAGGAGAGACATGGATCGACAAAAACTTGGACAAATGCACAGTGCAACAGGGTTTTTCGTCCTTTCCCTTTTCTCGTCGTAGACCTGGGTGTAGAAATTGGGCAGAGGGAGTGGCCATGGCCCGAGTCTGCCCCCCCCCCCGACCATCCATAGAAGCTCTGGGTCTGGCCCGGCCTACTTGTAGAGACTCATGGTGGGGCTCTGGTACATACACATGTAGGCGTCACAGAGCAGACGGCGGGCGAATCCCTGGATGCTCTTGGGGTCCAGCTCGTGCAGCTCCTCAGGGGTCATCTTCAGGTAGGCGCCCACTTCTGGGCATGGAGACACCTGGGGAATGTTGAAGCCATTCTGTCCACCTGGGGAAGCACATAATCCATTACAATCCATTAAATTCAGCAAATGTTTCTACCCAAAGTCACAAACATTTATTGAGTCCCTGGAGCAACTCAAAGGTAAGGGCCTTGCCCAGGGGCACAACAGTGAATTCAACCCTGGGTTATGAATGGCAAAAGGTCCTGCCTTTTAGATCCACCAGCCTCCCCCTGCTCGGAATTCTCTCATTTCAGTCAAACATACGGATTTGCCGCTACTGCTGCTGCTTTCCAAGACTGATTTTCCACACATTTTGCGTAAAGTAGAGTGACATGCTCTGCCAATTTGGCAGCGACAGCGCGATGCATTCACACATCCGGCGCAACCGCAGCGGACGTGGGCAAACACCTGCCACCGGGCCGCCCGCTAATTAATAGCAGCTGGCACCCTGCACGTACCGTCTCTATCCGCCATGCTGTCGAAGAAGAGCCAGGCGGATTCGGCGGCGCCATACTTGACGAAGGCCACGTAGTGGCTGGTCTCGATGCACAGCACGGCGAAGAGCTGCATGCGCTGCCGGGGGAAGATGCCCTGGCGGCGAACGCCCTCCTGCAGCTCCCGCGGCACTGAGAGCCGGCCGTGCCGGTGGGCCTTCCGCCGGGGGTGCAGGTGGACCTGTATGGAAGAGGCAAACGCCGTCACACAGCAACCAGTGTGAGCGGCTCTCAGCCTACAAGCTACTGGATAACTGCATTACTTGTGCGTTGTCTCCACCTTGTGGAAATATCTGAAACTACATGCTGGTAGAACTACAAGTGCAAATTGTTTCCACCTAGAGGAATTAGGGGGTACTACATGCTAGCAGGACTACATTTATTAAATTAACAGATACATTTATCCAAAGCGACTTGCAACTGAGAAGGCAGGGTCAGTCTGTCCCTGGAGCAACTGAATGTACAACGAAACTGTAGAACAATCTAGAACGTTACAGCAGGCGTGGTGGTAACGAGAATGGGCTCTCTGCCTGCGCCTACCTGTGTGTTGCACGTCTCGCAGAACTGCTTGATCTTGCCTGCTGTGATGTCAGTGTCCTCGTAGCACTCACGACACTCGTAGTAGGCCAGGCCTCCACAGATGCGGCACTCCCTGGGAGCTGAGGCAAGCCACACACCGGCACAGCGCTGGTAAATCCAACATGTGCGTGGCATGCACACATACTGACTAACACCACCAGTGCACAAACCATTCCCACCATTATGGTAACCACGGTGATGCCCTTTGACCTTACGCCCACCCCCCACCATGGCCTTCCTACTCACTGTCCTCCAGCAGATCGGTGATGTCCAGCTCCAGAGATGGGAAGATCTTGTTGAACATCTTGAAGTCCTTTCCGAAACGAGGCATTTGAATGATAAGGCAGGAAGGTGCCTGGGCAGAAAGATACTGGGTTAACGGGGCCAAAGGGCATCCATGTGACGCCCAGATCGCACGTCAAGAGGCGCAGCCGACATTGGGACCTTACCTCCGCGAACTTGAGATCACTATTGATGAAGGACCATTCAAGGAGTTGCTGGATGGTGGGAACGCCCACCTTCTCCTTTTTATCCATGAAGATCTGATAGAAATAACAGTCCTGGACTTTCTGTCCTGCAGATCTAAAGAATCCATGTAAAGGGATTAATCTGTGACACTATACTGGACGAGTACACAGGAATTTAAACTCTAGAAATGGTCTTCGCTCGGTCGTTGGTCTATATCCGAATTTTGATACCCCCATATTCCTGATTTTGTGGTTGTTGGATTTTAAAAGGGGGACAGGTGACCGAGCAAAGCCAACTGGCATAACTCCAGTAAGAAAACCAAATATAAAATCTGAAAGTCACCAGAGCTGCTCACCTGAGTTTCAGTAAGGGGTCAACCCTTAGTATATGGTAGAATAGGATGTTGAGGAACTCCTCAGGGTCTGCAGATACACATGGGGGTGAGGAAAGCTGAAGAGATGCTGAGGGATGCTAGGCCACACCCCCCCCCCCAGGCTTGCCAACCAATCAGCATACTCACCTTTCTCCTCAGACGTGAACCCAGAAGCTGCTTCCACCTTCTCCAGAATTCTCCTCAGCTTCATCACCTTGGTGGCGCACACATACCCGTGGCTGATGGAAGCACATGGTAATCGTCAACGTAACGCAATCTCTGCTGTACGGAAACCTGGTCCTTTTTATAAACTTCCGTATGAAATCAAGTTGTCTCTGTAGCACGTAAAGATCTGGCGACAGCATGACTGAAAACACAGCAACAGTAGAGAGAGGGCATACAAAGTGAAGGGTATTATGGGATAGAAAATTAGCTATGGGAAAAATAAACACTGGGTTTACTTTAGGGGGTGAGTTTGGTCCCACAGCACACAACGAATGAAGATCACCCCTTTTTTAACAGCAGTGAATGCGACAGCCGGAGCGTGAACGCTGCACGCTGCGGCGGTAGTCGCGGCAGCGACCCTCACATGCGCAGCGGGTTGACGATCTCCGTGCGCAGAAGCTCCTGAGTCTCCTTGTAGTACTCCACGTCCGTCTTGGCACGCGGCCGCAGCAGGACCGTGTCCAGAACCGAGCTGAATGAGAAGAGGCTGCAAGCAGGAAAGGAGACGCCCATTAGGACGGAGCCCAGCCCAGCTCAGTAGGTTTCTGGCTTCAAACCCAGCTTACATCACGTATTACTTAGGTTCATCTGCTCTGGTGCCGCATACGTCATCCAACAAGCTTACTTACTTCTCTGAAATATGCATGACTTGGCTAAAAATTTGAACCACCAGGTCAAATAAAAACAACAACAAAATAATAATACTACATTATGAAGAACCCAATACAGAGAATACAAGGGGGCAGCAATACGCTCTTACCAGAAAAGGGTGGAGTCCAAATAGCAGGAGTTGTAGTGGCCCTGGATGCCCTTCTTCTTGCCCACCATGATCTCCAGGCCTTCGTTCTCCGTGCGTGGAGGTGTGTTTTCATGCACCACCTCGCTCAAGTAGGACCCGAACGCTGCAGACAGCCAGAAAGGGAATCCCCCCCTCAGACCAAGGACCCATGGAACCATCCAGCCTTCAGTACATATTCAAAGGTAATGCGATGGACTGTACCATCAGAGTGTGGGGGGGCCAGCTCAGCCCAGCCACCTGTTACCCCCCCCCCCCCCAAAACGAGGCCCACTGGCTCACCGATGGAATTGCAGCGCTCGATGGGGTTGGGGGGGTTGTGCAGCGACGAGAAGCGCGAGTCTGGCCGACAGCAGCGGAGTTTGACGAACAGTGCCTTCTTTGGCGGACAGCTGAAGTAGCGGGTGCCTTTGAAGGTGCCGTCTGTGCAGCCCACGCACTCCTCCTCCTGGGGGGGTGGGGGCGGCAACGAGTCACACCAGAGCATGACCAATTACACGGCGGCGGCTCTGCACTCTGCCGGCTAATGGGTCCAGCCATTCGGCCATGAAGTAAAAGGAATTACCTACTACAAATTAGGTGTACAAATAACAAATGCAAAGAGGATAAATGTCCTTTAATGGTAAAACTGTATATATATAGTAATATAAAGTGGATTGTGCAGATTACTAAATAAACACGCAACTCAAATGCATACTCGCTGTAATGGTGCAAGCTGCTATAATACATTATAAATGATGGCAATCTAACATAACACCTCGCCAAGTACTGTAAAATAATGTGCAATAAAGCGCTAGGAGCTCAAAATACTGTAGTGGAAACGAAGACCTTCCATCTATCTTTTGACCGGTTATCCTGGTCAGGGTTGCGGGGAGCCTGGAGCCTGTCCCAGACATCGCAGTGAACAAGGCGGGGGGGGGGGATACACCCTTGGCAGGATGCTAATCCATCACAAGACTCATACAGCCTCACACTCTCTGGGCAATTTAATGTTGCCAATTCACCAACTGTATATCTTTGGACAGCACGAGGAAATCCAAGGCATAGAGGAAGTGCACTCACACAGGGCTGAATTAAGGGGGTGGGACTAAAGTCATTGCCGGGGCCCTATCTACAGCATTACATAGCGCTGTAACAACCTGATTTAAAAAAATATATTAAAATAAAATTAAATATTGGGGCCCCAGGCAACAGTCCATGTTAGACTGTGTATAAGTCTGATCTTGCACAAAGTAGAGGTGGGATATGAACACCCATTATTGGAGGAGCAAGATGACCGCAGGGCTGGGTACCAAATTCGGTACTTTTCAGGGCATCATCCCAATTATCGAGTACCGATTTATGTCAAATCAATCGGCATGAAATTTCTTAGGGAGAGGGTTCAGTATACTAGTGATGTGTTGGTTGCAAACGAGTCAGCTCTGAGCTGGCTTCTTTACAGGGGTCAATGGTGCTGGTTTCCGTCTGAGAGCCGGTTTCGTTCGTTCGTTCGTTCGTTCGTTCGTTCATTCTGTTAATTAATCCAAGACAACAACAGGATGATTTTTTTGCCACACTGCTAGGCCACGGCCCTCCATGCACTGATGTTGCCGTCTCGCACACTGTAATTTATTTGTTATGCGGCACATTGTGTTCCATTTTGAGGGTGATTTGTTTGGAATTATTTGTGTTTTGGATAGTTTATTATTTATCTTATTATTTAATTTCATTAGATATGGACATCACAAGTAGCATTAGAATTGTAACATTTATGCGCAACGACCAGATGCACTGTGTTTTAGTGTTGGTAGCGAAACGCTAATTTACAATGTTAAATTTAAATAAAACGTGTAATACTGTTTGATGTTTTTATACTGACGTTTTTATACCAAGCATTAAAAAATTATGTACTGGAAATGAGAAGGTTTAATATAATTACATTGAATAATTTAAGTGGCATACATGCAGACGTAATCATAGTTAAAAAAAACTGGTAAATCTGAGAACAAGACCATATGACATCACCCATGCAACATGTTGGACAGTTTGGGGAGGAAAAAGGGGGTGTTATTTTACACACCATGCAAAATTGTTCTAAAATAAAATCTTAAAATTGAGAAGTTTGGATTTATTATTTACAAACTGAAACTATATGTTTGGTAATTACAGAGAGAATAAAGCACAGAACAAAGTACCACTGGGTACTGGAACGGATTTCCAGGTACCAAATGTGAACGGTACACAACCCTAGATGACAGAGCTAAATACTGAGCTACCATACTACCCCAAAAAGGTAGTGAACTAAGATTATTTACACAAACACATACATATATAAAAGTTGTGTTATGCAGAGTAATTTAAATGAACATAATACAGAGCAGTGTTGCTAAAGCCAGTCCTCAGGATGCCCAGATAGTCCAGTCCACGTTTTTGCTCTCTCCCAGCTCCCAACACACCCATACCAGGTATTCACTGTTCTTAATTGGCTGGGAGCTGGGAAGGAACAAAAATGTGGACTGGCTGGGGCTCCTCGGGGACTGGGCTGGGGCAACACTGATACAGTGTGATACTCACCAGCTCCAGGCCGGCCAGAGGCTCCGACAGCCCCGGGGGCTGGCCCACCCAGCGAATAACCCCACACAGAGGGGGGCTCTCCTTCACCTCCACCAGGGAGCCCACCTCCAGGCCGTACTGGTTGCCAGGCGGGGCGGGGGTTGTGGACGTGGGTGCAGGCTGGGGGGCAGGCTCGTGCTGTTCTGCAGCCACAGACTGCACGGACAGCGAAATGGGGCTGCTGGTCATGCCGCCGTTGGGGCCGCACTTCCTGCTCGGGTAGAAGGGCAGCGAGTGGAACTTGTTGTCACTGGACAGTGAGCCGGTAGGTGTGGCTCGGGAGGGCGGGGACGCCTGGCTGAAGTCCGATGGCGTGTCTGTAAGGGACTTGGCGGGGTCTTCTCCAACTGCGGAGGGCAGCAACACACCGGTTACGACTGCACGCCGGCACGCCAACCGGAGGCGCGATCACCGCACATGCATGCATGCACCAACGCGTCAAATCAGCATCTTGTCTGAACTGCAGCTAACCAGCACAGTCCAGACGAAGACCTCGTTTGACGTACTGCGGTCCCCAGTTCCACATGTGCGTCTACATTAAGGCGGGTGTGACAGCAGAGACCAAAGCGACCGACTTGTGAAGACACCGTTTACTGCAGCCTATCGCCAGGAGCGCATGTGACAGAGCGCACCCAGGAGAGAGGCTCCAGTGCACTGAACCACATGCCACAGCTACACCATGCAGGCACGTCTTTTACTAATGCGCCCTGCCAATCCCACCAGGACAAAAACATGGGGCTTTTACTTAGTCATGGCCAAATGAAGTTTCGGTAACCATTTGTCGTATTTTTGGAACCCATTAGATGATGCTCTGTTCATAAAAGGGTTCAAACCATGCCCCAAAGCAAACCAACAGCACCATCTAGTGGGGTCAAAAAATACAGCAAACGGTTCATGACGCTTCATTGACGCTTCACTCCTTTCACTGCGTTATTTCAGACTAAACTCATGCTGAAAACTCGAGGTGTGTAAACAGCTCCACCTGTAGGCGGGGTGTGCAAAAACAGGGATTTAGTGACAGGTCTGAAATGGGCCCCGCAATGAATGTGACCTGAACTGCTGCTTTAAAAAAAAAATGGCCCTCATGGACAGTGGGATAAACTGCAGGCCATCTAAATCCCTTTGAACAGCGGTGTCTTTGTGCAAATGCTGCACTTGCATCACAGCTGAGCCCCTGAAGCAATCAGCCATGTCATTGTATTGGAACTGCAAAGCCCAAAAAAATGCACAAGTGCCACATTTAAGAGCGGCTTCCTCTCCTGGAAGCCTTGTCAGAGCACGTTTACTCGGGGTGCCTGGGCGCATTGTTAAAAGCCAGCGGTCACACACAGGTCATGCCGTGCATGCACGAGGACCCCCAGTCTAACTAGGGCTTGACGGTGAGGATCTCAGTGGCCCAGCTGCCGCATCATTTCCAATCAGTTAATAAATAAAAAAAAAAATTAAAAAATGGGGGAAGGAAGTGTCATAATGTCTCAAGGCATCGTTTGATAACCTGGAAACCGGAGAATCAGAAGGGTCAGTGTGGGCCACAGAGGTCGCTCTCCGTCGAGCCCCCCAGCTCGGTTCGCAAGCATTACCTTCGTCAATATACCACGTGCTTTTGGATTTGGACTGCACGGGGTGATCGACAGAGCTGCCATTAAAAGTATAATAAAACTCAGACTTGCTCCTGTTTCCACACTGTAGACCTAAGCCTGTAAATAAGAGTCGGACAGAGACACAGTGAGCAGGGGCACGAGAGTCTTCCTCCGCATGTTCACCTGGGGGGGCAGGGGGGTTAGGGTCCCACAGCATTAAACACCCCCCCACACAATGTCTGTGTTAGAAAAAAACATGTTTAAATATTCATACAGATCCTCAGTTCCATCATACACTGAAAACCCTTAAGCCCCCCCCCCCCCCCAAAGTAGTTTGACAGAAAGAAGACAGGAAAGCCCCCATCGACTCCCCCACATGTCCAACCATCAAGAAAAAAATGCCCATAGATGAAACCCTCCAAAACAGCCCCCTGTGAAAAAAATAAAAGCTGCTGTTCCTTATATCCTCAGCACTAAGACGAGACAAGGAGTGCGGCAGAGCTTATTGGCCGAAATGACTGTCCACACCAGAATAATGCACTGGACCAATGTCCAGGACATCAAGCAAAAGCAGACAGCAGCAAGATGAGCTTCAGGTTTATTTCTCTTGGAAGAGAAACATCCAAGTGACTGAACACCACTGCTCATATATAACATGCTGCCAACATACTGTAGCGCTTCAAAGCAATTGGACACAAAATGACCACTAGAGGTCAGGATAGATCTAACTGAAGTTTTGCTGTTACTCTCTTTTGACTAAAAAGCGTGAAGACAAAGGTCAACAAACAGCTTATGCGACGGACACACCTATCCATCTGACCACTAATTTACACCCTGATTTACACCCTAATTTACACCCTGACTGGCAATCAGCCAGCCAATCACTCTAAATATAGTACAAAATGACGTACAAGTACAGCAAATAACACATTACAAACATTCATGACTCAGCACAAGTGTGACTAAACTGAGCTTCCAAAGGATGCCCAGTTGCAAGTGCACTATTTAACAGTATTAATACAAGGACAGAACGCGCCGGAAAGCCCCGTCATGCTCTGCCTGCATCTTTGGAGACTGAAACAGTACAACAGAAAAACACTGAAATTTCTTTGTTTCAAATCAACCTACATAACATCTCAGTGCTGCCTGTGTATCTCACTTCTTTGTTAATTATATTATATATAGGCAGTGTTTGAGGTTTCACGCCCATATATACATGTCCTGGTGGGCAGTCTTTACCGTTTGCATAATCCATCAGTAACAGCAGGGTGTGAAGGCTGAATTCGCAGAGCAATAGCACAGCTGTACATAAACTATTGCAATCCACACAACATAATGGGAGGCATATGAGAGATCAAAAGAGGACAAATTGTTGGTGAACATTTTGCTGGCACAACTGTGACCAGGAGAGCAAGTCTTTGTGGTGCAGAGAGCCACAGTATTAAGGATAATGTCGACATACTATTAAAAAGGACAGACTACAGGAAGCTCCACAGGGTCAGTATTCATGGTTGGAGTACTATAGCCAAACTTTTGGTCACTTGTGCCAATGTCAAACATCAGTTTCAATGGTGCCAGTAGTGCAAATCCTGGGCTGGGGACACTGTCTTTCCCACATCCGGGAGAGTTACGTTGTGGGGAAGCCCGAAACTGCCAAGGACGATCTAACCATTCTGGAGGACCATGTTCACTCAGTGGTTCAAACATTGTACCCTGAAGATCATGTATCAAGATGATAATATACACAGCAAGACTGCTGACAGACTGGTTTGATGGACATGAAAGTGAAGCTGAACATCTCCCCTGGCCTGCATAGTCACTAGGTCTGAATATTATAGAGCCACTTTGGGGTGTTTTGGAGGAGCGAGTCAGGAAACATTTTTCCTCCACCAGCATCACATACTGACCTGGCCACTGTTCTGCAAGAAGAACGGCTCACAATTACTCTGGCCAAAGTACAGACTTGTATCAGTTATTTGCTGGTCGCAAAAGGAGGCCTTACACCACACTAATAAATGATTGTGGTCTAAAACCAGGTGCTTCCGTTTCATTGCCCAAGCCTTGTAAAAACATAATTGATCTTTCTTTTTAACCAGTTAAATGGTTAAACAACAAACTTTACCATTGCATTGCTTAAGTAATATATATATATATATATATATATATATATACACACACACACACACACACACACACACACACACATACACATATATATATATATACACACACACACATACATATATACGATTAATCAATGAATCGTCAGATTAATTATAATATAATATAATAATATAATATATAAACATTGCAATTGCCGTGAGGATGGAAGCAACCAGCCACTGCAGGGTGCACACGCACAGTCAGGCACGCAAGGTCAGTTTAGGCAATAAACCGGAGAATCTGGCGAAAAGCTACGCACACACAGGGTGAACATGCAGACTCCACACACACAAAGCAGTGGTGTGAGGTGACAGCGCTGTCCACTGAACCGCCCGCATTTTATAGGCTTGCCACATGTGCCATGTTAATATCCACATGGCATTTCATGCAAATGCAACTGTCACATCGCAAGGACCGTGATAGTCGGCCCGGTTCAAACCATCAATAAGCTGCACTGAAACATTTTTACTCAGTCATAGGAAACAAAACTGTTTCCAGGCTGGCATTGTAAATAAGAATTTGTTCTTAATGCTTTGCCTGGTAAAATAAAGGTTTAAATAAAAAATAAAAAATAAAAAATAAAAACGTAGGAAGCAATTTTAATGACCGTTCCTCTTCAGCACTATGTAGTGGATGCTAAAAAATAAAATAAAATAAATCAGTCTAAAAGTTTACCGCCGCTGCTTTTACCGTGCCCCGCATGCGCTCTCCAAGACATCATAATCATAATCAGTCTCATCTTCGCAGCGGGACTCACTCATAGACCATGTGGCCGATTTGTGAGAAATTAAACAAAAATGAGAGAACAGGAGAAAAGCAAACAGGAACTGGTCACAAAAACACATTTGTCCTCTTCTGAATGGAAATATTCTGTACTCAATGGAGGCGATATTGAGCAAAAGCAAGTGATTTGTCAACTCTGCTTTGTGTCTGTTGTCACAGGAACGCTACCAACTTATTTGTCAGACTGCATTGGTATAAAAGGTACATTTGGCTATATACTTCATTTGCAACTCCTAAATATTGCAAAAACTTTAGACATCAGAATGTGAACTTGTCACTATTGTATAGCCCAAAACAAACAAATACATTCACAAAAAATTTAAGTATATGGTCATTACGACGTCAGGTGGTGTGGCTAAAGCGACGGGGATAACCTTTGTTTTATTTTGACATGTGATAAGAATCGTAGAAAGTAATTTAAGCAAAAGAATTTCAAGTGGTGACAAAGACAGACCAGGCTGCTCTGGGAGACTAAATGTCTCGTATCTATGCCTAACATCTCATGATTTGATGAGTCCGTCAAACCTGAATGTCGTCTTTTACTGGTGGAACGTCGTCGGCATTTACATTGCAGTCCTGCTGTGGTGATATTTAAATTCTGCTTTGCAATACTGACATAGGACTACACTTTCATTCACTTTTAATGGTAAGTGCTCACACACAATTCACTGTTTCGCTCTTTATTTGGACCCGTCTTCCTTCCGCCATATTGCTGAGTAATCGAAAAAGAAAATTTTAAAATCGATGCTTTTTAAATATCGGGTTTAATCGAGTAATAATGACAGCTCTAATAATAATAATGGGTATCGATATCCCTGCTTAAATATCCATCCATCCATCCTCCAATCACTCATCCTTAGTAGAAGCAGGACACTAACGCCTGTCTCAGGTAGCATATGGCACCAGGCTAATTATGGAAAAGCTGCAGAGACCTCACTACAAAAATAATGACAGGTTAACGTCTGGGAATTTGGTTAACGTGGTTAATTTTTTAAATAACTGACAGGATGAAATGAGTAGCTGCCCCACTTAAAAGCATCGCCTGTTTCTGAAAACCACCCACACGCACACAAATTCCATCACTGTTTTTGCCACACGTCAGGTTATATCGGTCCCACTGATGCAGGTATTCAGCAAAGCAGAACAGACCTTTCCGACTATAAGCCCTAGTGACACATTTCTGCATGATAATCTTCCTCAATATCCTCACATAGCATAATGTTGACACTTCGATTAACAAAAACAAATGTAGCAAAAGGGTGTTTTTTTCTCCAGTCATGTCTATCTACTGAGTCCAAAAGCAATTTAGACTTTCATTACACATCACAACATCCCCGGTAGATAGATCTAAAAAGTTTGGCGTCATTCTGAAAGAGAACCGTTTCCACACAGACGTGCCCTTTGTACGGCATGTGTCACCTCCAGTGGCAAATGAAGGAATCCAAATCACATTCATACTCTCCTGGAACTGCCAAGTCATGATATTTAACAACGGACGCACACCAGTGTGGCGGCACCCAAACAGTAACTATCAGTAATGTCTTTCGAATCAGTCTGTCAGCTCCGATCATGGCTGAGAGGCGTGCAGCCGTATGCAGCGAGTTCAAATCAAGCACTTCATCAAAGCTCAGCGTCTCAGATTAGCAAACCACATAGCGGGACTTCCCCTCCACTTCCCAAGTCATTGTTCAGAAAGGACAACACAGAACTCAGCTACGGTTCACACACACACACACACACACACACACACACACACACTCTTAAATCAGGCCCACGGCCACTCGTCCCCCTACGTTTCAGCTCATCACATGTCTAACGTTGACGGCACTTGGTACCTTTATTCTGTGAGGCCGGAGGTTTGTCGCTGCCACTTCCTCTGGATGCAAAGTTGTGTCGCGAGTTTTGCATTGAGGACTCTGAAAAACGGAAAGAAGAAAATACAATAAAAACCATGACTGGGGTTTCACAAAGGCTCACGAAACATCCCCCAAAAGAACCAAGCCACTGGTCCACCTTAGAGCACCGACAAAAAACAATACTGGCTACTAACCAACCGGTGAACTCATTTTGTTAAGAGTAGTCAACTGAACATTACTCCATGGTAGGCAAACCAGGACAACATCTCTGAACCTCATGCTCAAAAACACTTCCCTGAAATACTCTTAGTCGCTTCCATTCTCCCACGGAAACAAAAACACCTTGAAGAAATCTGGTGGTACTACACTTTTTAACAGCTCCAATTAAACGTTAAGTCTGACGGTCAATGCAGACGAGGCGAGAAAGAACAGAGGAGCTGATAAACAAGTGCACAGATCGAGCGGACGAGGTTCAAAAACAACCGGGGAGACAAAGGCGCCTCTGTGGAGGCTAGAGAGAGGAGCGGCAACAAAACCCGGCTTTATACGCCAGGCTGGGGGGGGGGGGGGGGGGTCAGCGTACCTCGCATCACGTCGCAGATGGGGACGAGGCGGGTGTGCTCCCGGCTGGCGAAGTTACACAGCAGCTTCCCCTTGAAGAGGCCGTCCCAGTCGCCGATGGGGTTGTCCTGGAGAAGGGGGGCAAGACGCCACCTAGTTACTCATCCCTCAAACCTGCAGTTATGTGCCAACCATGTCATTTCCGCGCCAGGCCTCTGCCCACAGCGGCCGGTGATGTCAATTTCCATTTTCCACCCCGCTCGTCGTCCTCCTCTTGGGATGGGCTTGGGTGGGAGAGGCGGGGACCTCACCAGCTGCACCCTGGGAAAAACAGCAGCTCCAGGCGGAGCCCCCAGGCATTTGGGGGTCTGCTAAATGCTAGAGACTGCTGTCAGAGAGGCAGCAGCCCAGGGAAGTGCCTTCATGTGCGGCCTACCAGCTCTGCAGGCCTCTCCACGGCAGGCCTCTCCACGGCAGGAGGCACACTGCATCGTCATTAGAATTTACCCAATGTGCTTTTTCTTCCCTTTCATTTCAAACTATTCAAATAATGAAAGAATGCTAAATGGAGAATGAAAGCCATCGTTCCCTCATTTTCAGATACCCGTAATTTTATCCGGCACAGCACGCGTTTCTCAAATTCCACCTACATCCTGTTCGTTTTTTACCAAGTTATCCCAGTCTTCGGAGTACAAGCTGACACGCCCAACACGTGCCCACATCAATTCCAGTTGCAGTAACTGGTTTTACAGGAAGCGTGGCTAAATATTTAAGATTGCAGACAGCGAGGAAACAGCCATAAGGAATTCAGATTAGTGCCACAGTCACTCTTTATGTACAGCCTGTAAGATACCCACACTAGTGACTTAAGTAAAAACACACAGGCTGGTGAAGGACCAACCACCTCCAGAGAAACGATAAAATTATGGCCTTCAGGCACACACACACACACACACATGCACACACACACACACACACACGCACACGCACACGCACATGCACACACACACACACACATGCACACGCACACATGCACACACACACATGCACACACACACACACACACATGCACACATGCACACGCACGCACACACACACACACGCACAGACCTGTACTCTTATCTTTGCGGGGACTGTCCACTGATTTCTATGGCCATAACCCTAAACCAGGGGTGTCAAACTCCAGTCCTGGGGGGCCGGAGCCCTACGCAATATTGGGGTTCCCCTCATTTAACACGCCTGATTCAACTCCTTGCACCTCCTTGTGCTAATTACCACACAGCTCCTGAGCTGAATCATTTGTGGTGGAACTGGGAAAGAACTAACCTAACAATGTACTCACAAGTATTGTATAAATATGGAGCATTTTATAGCCTCTTCCAGGAAATATAGAGAGTATTAATTATCACATTCATAACTGCATTACCGTTGTTTTATGGAACAGTTCCCAAACACTGCAATCCCATTTAGATATGGAGCCATAAACAATAGACATTTTACATTGATATATGTATTTTTATAAAAATACCACCATTCACACCACAAAGGATTATTCAATTACCAGCAGGATTAAAATATGAAGCTGCTCACCATGTCGACGCCCACATAGTATCCCAGACTCTCGCTGCCAGGCAACAGGCCACAGAAGATGATGGTGCCGTACTCGGGGCCTTCCCGGGTCTGCACCACCACCCGCGAGTTGATCGGGAAGTCAGGTTCCCGGGGGTCCGGCGATCGGGGCACTTCCTCCTCATCCTCCCACAGCTCCAGCTTGTCCAGGGCCACGAAGACGCCGCACTCGTCCTCGCAGCGGAACAGCTGCTGGCCCTGGTACGAGCCGTCCGTGAAGCCCTGACCCCGGCCCTGTTCCTGGGGGTCCAGAGAAGAGAGCCAATCATTCACATGGGGGAAGGGGCGCAGAAAGACACACTGTCATGACCACTAATGTACCTGCACACCCATTTAAAGGCCACACCCATTTAAAGGCCACACCCTATAATGTGGCTTTATTATCTGGCCTTTAGGTGACCAAATACACATAGGATTCCCTGTGAACAATCTCCTTCCATACAGACAAACCACAGTTTCATGATATAAATATAACATGGATCTAAGAGGGTTCATCTGTTCCAGGGGTGGACAGTCTTATCCAGAAAGGGCTGTTGGGTATGTGGGTTCTAACCAGATTAATCAGATTACTAATTAGAGGACTGATTGGCTGAAGACTCCTCACACCTGGGTTTGAACAGCTGACCTAAAGGTCACCCCAAAAACCTGCACACACACCGGCCCTTTGTCGATAAGACGGCCCACCCCTCATTTTTTCCTCATGAGGTCAACCAAACCACGTTTAAGCCAACTTCACCTTCTTCCGCTACCTACATGATGATACGCTTTACAGTGCTTTAAGCCAGTGTTTCTCAACCCACTCCTCGGGAGCCCCCATAACGTCCACGTTTTTGCTCCCCCCCAACACACCTGAACCAAACAGCGATGAACTTCGAATAGCTGCTGTAAACGTGTTGGAAGCTCGGAGAAAGCGAAAATGTGGACTGTCTGGGGCTCCCTGAAGAGCGGGTTAAGAAACGTTGCTTGAGCTGTCGAACACTTTACGTTTTATTTTTGCTAGAGCTCATGTAGCTGTTAACTCGCTGGTATGAGTCAATTACTTCTGAGCCCCGAGTCTGAGTGTCGGTTCTTTGTCACATGTTAGCTGGGCTTTTTTTCTGAGCACCTGTTTCTCAAAAAAATATTTTTACATGCTTTGATTCCTTTGGTAGTGAAGGAAGTGGCTTGGGCAACTTCCTCACAATCTCACAGAAACCAACCTGTATTAGTTATACTGTTGACTAGTTAATTTAGGACAATTTATAATTTTCCCCAAAGCATTTTTAGAGATCAGAAAAAGCACATATTCAGTTATGGAAATTTTAAACCACTAAACAGGCAAGTAAATCACTCAAAAATATCAAGACATTTAGAAAAACAAAACACTAAGCTAACCAGAAGGTGGGGGGGTGGGGGGGGGAATGGCATCAACAGCAAATTTTTTAACAATTATTCCTGTTAGAAAATGTTGCTGAAATAGCATTTGTGGTAAATAATGCTGATGAAACGATTTTATCATTAAAACCACCACAGAAATTTCCCATACAAAAATGTGTGCGTCTCATTTCCACCAGTAATAGCGGTTGGTTCGTTACTTTCAGATGGTCACACCTACACTCACACCCACTCAGGAGCACATCCTCACCCTCAACAAGTGTGCAGAAACACCTACGCACTCTGACTCACCAGTGGGGGGGGGGGGCGTACTTCGTGGCCAGAAAGAGGGGCGCTATAGGGATAGAGAATGATGGGACATGACATGACCGAAAAGTCCCATAAGGCCACGGGGACGGAGCTCCAAGAGCAGCTCACTGCCGAGTTCGCTGTAGCCCAGCGATGATAGATGCCAGACTGTTAAGGCCTGCTGCTGGTCCTCACTCACTGGGAGAAGCAGTGAACACTGAGTGAGTCGCCCTGTAAAAGCAGCTTCATAGCTCACGGTCCTCCCCCAGCTTATCTCCCCGACACAGACATAAGAGTGGGTCACTCAGCCTCTGCATCTTTTCTCCAGCTCCTCAGTAACCCAAGTATGAGCATTAGCACAACCAGGCGAAGGGAAGCGAGTCTGACAGCCACTGCCGCACCGATACCCTGAACAATAATACCACCGATACCGATACTACCACCGATACCGATACCGCCACCGATACCGATACCGCCACCGATACCGATACCAGCAGATGACATTTAGCCATGTCAAGGCACTCACCAGCAGCTCTACTCCGAACCAGACTCCGGACAGCACCCTCTCCGGGATGAGCGGGCCACGGAATCGCACCACGCCAGGCAGCGGCTCATCACCCGAGCGCAGCTGCACCTGCACTTTGGAGCCGCAGTCGATGGCGCGCGCCTGCTCCAGGCGTGCCTCGCTGCGCAGCAAGCTGTAGCGCTCCTCGCAGTTGTTGACGGGGAACAGCAGCTCGGCCAGCTGGTCGTCCAGCTCCTGCACGTCCTTCTCGTCCAGGCCCAGCACCACGTTGGCCTGGTCCAGGATGCGCAGGCTCCGCTTTCCTTTGCTGGGGGGCAGGGTGCGGCCCAGGCTGTTGCGCTCGGGGCAGGCCTGGCCGATGCTGCCTCGGGGAACCTTCAGTGTTTTCTGCGACGGCCTCTCCACCGTGCATTCCTTGACCACCATGTAGTAACGCGAGTCCTCTCGGAAGCCCCCGGCCGGTTTCTCTTGGCTCCAGAGCACAGAGGTCATGTTTGCTACGGCCGCATAACCGAGGCAGGAGGCAGCGGGGATAAATCGACGGGGGGCAGCGGCAGACAGAGGGACGGTCATGGGGTGCCAACGCTGGGTCCCCACATGGCCTCTCTGTCGGACACCTGCATGCTTTCAGGCAGATGCCAGAGCATTAAGGACCTGCCCATGCAAACACACAAATGGAAAAAAAAACAGGAATATTTACAGAGAAGAGTGAGGGTTCGGGTTCAAACAGCATCAATTGCTTAAGCTACTGAGATTTCAGGAGAGAAGACCAAATAAGAGAAATGAAAGTGACTAATTGTGATTGTTGACACACCACAGGACACAGTGCACAACAACAAAACATGTCCTCTGCATTTAACCCATATATGGTATTGTGACATAGCAGGGGGCAGCTAATTCAGCATCTAGGGAGCAGTGCCATGTTCATGTGCCTCAGTGGTACGTACCTTACTGCAGCCTTTCAATCACAAGTGCACATCCCTAAGGCCACCAAAGCCCCAACACTGTTAGAACAATGTCACTAAACCAGTAAATATGCTGCCCAAAAACAAATCCCTTTACAAGCCTTAAATAATTCTGAGTACAATTACAAGTTGTACACAGGGACAGTCATTTATAAACATGAGGCGGTAATGATGTTTGAAACATTCAATAGGTTCAGCCTTGCCAAACATGGATTCTGGCACAAATGTGTGAGATCAAAGATAATCCAGTGCCACAATGCTCTTATAAGACTCTCGCAAAATCAGTCTCAAAGGGAAATTTTGTTGTTAACTAAAGTAACATAAGTGGCTAACAGCACAGCCTTATTAAACCAAAACACCCCCCCGCAACCCTGAGAAAAGGTTGGGAGATCCACCGGCGGATCCATCACTTGCAGGGTGAACAGACCCACGGTAGCAATGCAAAAACAGGAATGCAGTATTCATCTCAATAATATACGGTGTGTGTCTAGCCCTTAAACAAACAAGGACCAGTAAAGTGCAGGGTTAAAACTGTGCTTTCACTCACAATGTTGTGAAAACACCAGTCTAATCATCCTACACAAATGTTTTTTCAGAAAACTAAAAATATAGGTTTATCATGAAGACTTTTTTTAAAAATGTGTGTGGGTAATGCTGCAGGCAATGACGGGTTTAACACAGCCTACTGTATTCAGCAGGACGGAAAGGTGCATAGAGCTTTAACCTTAAAGTGTATGTTTTAAATTAGTCTGAAGCAGGCTACTTTCCTACCCTTGTGTCAGACACATAACCTGGTTCAGTAAAATAATACTGCATGCAGACTCTCATCCACCCAGAGTGTGTTTGAGGGTTCTTATCAGTTTTTATTAGGAGAAAACAAAACATTTGTAGGTATTCTTTTCTGCATCTTTTACACACGTATATGTTACTGGCGTATCGCCATTAACTGTTGTAATTACGCATTGGTACTAGTGTGAACTCGTGAAAGAATTATATTGCACTATGTACATTACATGGTAAAACTTTGAAAGAGAAGCACCTATGGCAGTAGGTATATAGCAACACGCAATAGGATTTCTGACAAAAAGCTTGCTGGTTCCCAGGAGGATCCTGCACCTACTCAGCTGAATTGTGTCAGATATAGTTATAAGGACGGCACAAAATATCAGCTGTGAATTGTTTTAAAATAAGAAGTTATATTTAAAAGGATAGACAGATACACAGACAGACAGATAGATACCCTACCATCACCCTATATCAGATTCAGTTCTTAGTGATTAATGTAAGGACAGTAAACAACGATGCTGGAAGACATCAAGTGGGCGGAAAATACCGTGTGCTGTCAATCACTGCCGGCTCTGATCCAATACGAGCCGAAGTGGTAATCAATAGGTCGAGTGACAGCACCTGATAATCCCACCCACCGCCAGGTTTACAGCCGATTTCCTTCCATCATTAACCACAGCCGATAAGCGTTCAACGAGGACGAAACAGGACACAATAAATAATAATAATAATAATAATAATAATAATAATAATAATAATAATAATAATAATAAAAAAAACAATTTACGCAAAGCAAGAATGTGGTTAGTCTAGCAATGGGCAGCATGGCCGCATCGCGACCGCGCCCCCGCTCGCCGTGACCCGGTCTGTGGCAGCGCCTCCCCAGAACAGCGTCCCGCCGCATTCCGGCCCCCCCCGTGTGACCCTCCGCAGCATGGCGCAGACCGCGGCTCGCCCACGAAACGCAGCCTTACGCCGCCTCACATAAACAGCCCCTTGTTTACTGTCCAGCGGCGCGCGCGCATCTCCAGCGCGTGGGACGTCATGCCAATGCCGAGAAGCTGCACTATCCTTGCTCTCATCATGCATCTTTAAATCATACACGCCCCCATCCTCATTCAGTGGTACGGCGCTGGACGTGAGCGCAAACTTCCCCTCACAAAACCACAGCGGCTACATAACATTGACTATTTAACTAACAACAATCCAGACTAAACGTCGCTGGACAGAAGCAAAGCATATCGCAGTGTTAAAAAATGTAATGGAATATACTGTGCTGAGCAGTGCCTTCCTCCAGATTCTTACATAACTTAATGTATTAGTGATACAAGGGAATGCAGAACATGGTACACTGTTAAGTAATGCATTTTTGACATAACAAGCAAAGTGGAAGCTTAATGCCATGTGTAAAAGCCACATTCTTGAATCTGCATAAACTTCGGAGCGACTGCTTGTCAGAAAAGCAACAGTAACTTCAGTCTTTAGACTGGACAGGTTGCCATGTTCACGCGCGCAGTAAAGGAGATAACGGCAGGTACGGCTGACAGGTCGCGTTCCTCCCGGCTACATGTGGTTCCTGGACGGCGTGTTTCGGATGCACGGCGGAAAAGAAACCCGCGCGCATACGGTCAGGCAGGACGCCGCTGGCAGCCTTGACATCTACTCGCCGCGATGACGTCACCGCCGCCGTCCTCGGGCCTTGATTGGATACTCTACTGTACCAATTAAACAGCTAGCAGGCATCCTTACTATAACCAAATTCCAGATTAATTAATGATATTGCACAATTAACGCGACACTCAACACAATCCGGCTGGACAACTAGCTACGGTTTAAAAATATGACACGTCGCCAGAATCTCCGCATTTAACAACGCGTAACCAACATGCAGGAGTAAACACCGAAATTCACGAAATCGCTAGTGTTCTTACCTTAACTTCGGTGCCTAGCTAGCTACCTGTTCGCCTTAATTTCATAGAACCCTGGTTTTGGCACGAATCAAGAACATGTAACCAGCTACGCAAATTACTCGAAAATTTTCGAGCAGGCTTCTTCTGCCTTCTCTTGTGCTTTATTTATTGTGAGCAATTTAAAAGGTCTACGAGCCTGCGGCGAACGTCACAAAAAGCAAAGGAAAGGCAAAACGCAGACCCTTCAACCAAAATTATTTTTTAACAGCAACCAGCTCAACCAACCTTAAAATATTAAACATGCTCCCAATACTTTACTCCCATTGGTGATTGCTCCGTTATACCAACTGCTCATTGGTTAAAACGCATGCCTTTACTTTAGTCCCACCCCCCGGGGTTTTCCGGTAGTTCGGTTGCGCAGTGAAGGAGGCGGAAGCAAGATGTGATTGACAAAGCTGCCGGTGGCTGCTCGCGGCTCGGAAGCAATGCTGGTCTTTTGCTGAGCGCATCCTCGGACTGTTACGTGTACATGTACTGGTCATACAGCACATTCAGTGCATGACATTCAAACGTAACACCGCTTGTCATCGAAGTGGTCCTGTGTGGGTTAAAGCTACTGCATTTTGCAAGATACTCGGATTTGAGCTGTTTCTTCAGTATCTACATTCATCCTACATTTCCACAATATATCCATATACGTAGTTGTAAACAATTGCATCCTAAATAATATCCTCAGTAAAATGTCATACAAAGTTATTCGATATACATGTATATTCAATATGAATAGTGATCTGGAATATTCGTTAGATAATTATTAAAGTTTTGCTTTAGATGTTCTCTTTTTTTTCTTACGATGTGTGTCCAGGTTAGAATTTGTTGGATTATTGTAGTTTTTATCATTTTGTGGCCAATTCAGCTATATTTTCATCGTCTGACAATCCTGTCAGTTTTCACTTTGTAATTGCGGAATTTTGTGTTTGACAGTCATCTGACATATTCAACAATACGGTCTTTGATTACAAAGGCCAGATGCACCATTAACACGTCATTTTACTTTCCAAATAATCACTTTCATAAAGCAACTGAGGGCCATCATAGGACAAAAATGGCGTAGCTTGAGTAGTTAATGTAGCCTTGTGTTTTAGCTCTAACTTTGCGCAAGAATCGCACATTCCATACGGTGCATTTGTCTGGAGCAACTTCCGTATCTTTCATGAGATTGTACATAGGCATTATTTTCCTAAAGCTCCTTTTGTTTATCTGTTTTCCAGAGAACATAGAGAAAAGTGCTGGCCTACAACCTGGCTTATGTATATTACACCAAAACCACTCAAGATGATACACAGGTATGTATCAGTCAACACCTTTAGAGTATTTTATTTGGACACAAACTATAATTCCAGCAAATATGTCATCACTATACACTTAGGCAAAAGTGTTAGCAGGCAGGTACAATGGCAGAATGAACAATTGTAAATTTAGGGTAACTGGATGATGAGTTACGTGCTCCTCGCTCACTGCTATGCACAAGGAGGATGGAAATGTAACTCAAGCTGCCAAAATGAAAGTTTGGACTTTATTACCCGGTTTTCTTTCATGCACACTTGTATCATGATAGCACAGCTTGAACAGAAAAATAAATCAGAACCATACACAACACCAAATATAAAACCAATACAAAACTCCAAAATATGCAAAATACAAACAGTTTGCAGCCACATACCAGATTAGTCAATAATTTAAATGTTCTTTATTTAAAGTGAAGTAAAATGCAAGCTGTATTAAGTTTTGGTTTGGGCTGAGTTCTGAGTTCCTTCGCTCTCAAAAATAGTGGCGAGAAAATGTTTTTACAGAACTGCTACAAGGCATGAAAATGACTGAATCGATAACCATGGCTTTGTCAACATTTTCAAAATGATCTCTCAAACATGCTCAGTACATCCTGGTATGGCTCAGACCAAAGACCTTCATGTTATAATTCCACATTTTGTACCTTAAACAAAGCTGCGAAAACAAATTATGTACATACGAGATACTATTAATATTGTGCGTTTTAACAGGTAAATGTGTGAGGTATGTGGAAGAGTGAAGTAACAGCCAGTTTCTGACAGTAAGAGGTGACCTTGATTAAAAATTCTCTTCAGAAAGTCAGTCGCTGGTCTCTTTGTTTCAGCTCCTCGACCTCTTCTGGACTGAGATCATTGCCCTTCAGCCTTTATTGGGAAAGAGTAATGTTTTAGAGTCTGGATTATTACGTAACCACTTACCCAGTAAAGCAATGTTTCGCACCCCGGGCCTCGGGGACCTCCACACAGTCCATGTTTTTTGCTCCCTTCCAGCTCCATGGGAAACAGCAGTAAAGGGTCGCAATGAACCAAGAGTCTATCTCAGGAGCTCTTACAGTAGATGGAAATGAAAACACAAAACAAGGGTCTTTCTGTGAAATATCACAGATTAGAATAATACCGATTACACAAACTGTACTTAAAATTCAAAGATAAGGAAGCAAGCAGACCATGTCTGAACCCCATGACCCTGACAAGGAAAAGCTTTTAGAAGACTGAAGGATGGATGGATGGATGGATGGTTTCTCTAAATACTCTTATATTGTCTAAATGCTCCGGTGTAAAACTGGAAGGGCAGGAGGCCTTACCAGATTGCTTTGACACTGGTGTTTGTTTGCAATGCTTCCAGCAGGTACTCGATACCCTCCCTGGTGATGCAGTTCTTGCTTAACCTGTTAGTAAGACAAAGCACAGCTGGAGGACGTGTGCAGGCTGTGAATGTGAAAAGAAGTGAGCGGATTTAAAGGGAAGGCAACGTCCTTTTAGCCGCACTTAAACAGACAGGAGCCCGTATAAACATCCCCTTCTCAAGTTAGCCCAAGCTTGTCTTTATCCAAAAAAAGCAGAAAACTCCAATTAACAGTTAACTCAGTTCTTCAGGTATTGTAGGTTTTGAGGTGTCAGGTGGATAATGTCAGTCAACCGTGATGCAGCTTAAAACATAGGCCAGAGGCCTGGCTTTTCTCTGCATCGTCCCTCAGCCCCAGAGGCTGATGCTCCTCACAGAAGACTCACCACAGCTCCTCCAGACTTTGGCTTGTCTTAATCAGTTGTGCCAGAGCTCGTGCCCCAGCGCTGCCCACGCCGTTGTCTACCAGGCTGCAAAACAATACGGCGCATAAAATCCGAACGGTTCAATACAGCGCAGAACCACAACAGCAAGGCCCAGCATAGAACAGCGTGCAGGACGGAGTGGAACCAGGAGAGGCACATATACAGGCTTCCATTCAGCTAAGCCCTTAATTAGCCTTGATTAAAATACAGATTCAATTGACCATAGATGAAACCACAAACTTTTTGATGATGTTAAAACAAGCTAATATGTCTTACGAATGCATTCGTGCTAATAAAATGTCTTTATTTGATTATTTCTGGTTCTACATTAATTACGTGCCGACTTAAGTAACTGAAGGATGGGTTAATTTAAAATGTTACAGGGCTATATACAATTGCGTAATTATTGATTTAGTCAAATAATGAAGGCTATTACTAATTTTAAACGGACATTTATAAGCACCTCCAACATTATTAAAACAATTATAGTTCACTATTCTTAAGTTATATATGACAAATAAAGGAAAGTAAGCCCAAAATGAATTTAACACATTTGAATCTGCATTGTAATCACGGCTGGATATTAAGGTCGGCCACTTGCCTGAGGCGAGGAATTTAGAAGTCGGCTGAGTACAAAATCACTGAACACTAGTCTGATGGCTGCAGACCGGGCTACATTTTTTCAGAACTATGTAGCCCAGCTGCAGAAGTTCCACCCAGATTGTAGTAAATCTTGTCTGCCTGTTTATCTATAGGACAGTAGAAATGAGGGTTCCAAACCCACAGTACAAAATACAATCCTCAGACATCTATTGTTCTGACACAAACAATGGAAGCACAACCTGACCCAGTGCCGTTTTCAATGGGAAGCAGGTCATTGATTGACAACTCACGCTAATCCCACGCCCTGAGGCTGTCACGTGACTCCTACAAGTTCTAGACAGTACTTTCTTAAGTCCTGTTACTCCGACCGAGTGATCGCATGATCTCTTGCTAACTGTGCAGACTGTAGAGAGGAGAGACCGAACACCGGCAAGTTCGCTTATTCCAACACACAGGTACTACGGGTCAAATAAAACCCCCACACACACATCATGGTCGCATCACAGGTACAGGATGGGGCGGGTTTGCAGCACGGGGAGAAGCAGACGGCGGCGCTGAGGATGATCCCGCTGTTACCTCAGCCACACCAGACGGCAGTTGCTTTGCAGTGCTTTGGCCAGTGCTTCTACCCCCCTGTCTTTGATTTTGTTCCCCCACAATCTGGGAAACAGGTAGAAAACAAATAAATAACAGGCTATTGTCTGTGTTTCTCAAAAAGAAAGCAAATACTTGTGACTGGTAACAAATTTGTCTTTATTTTTGGCCTCTGTGTTGGTTTCAGCTGAATGAGACACTAATGATCAGTGCCTGTAACCAGATAAGGCACCAGCTTAAAACAGCTTAAAGCCCCTAAAACACTACGCTTGAATTTATTAAATCACCATTGTTGTTAGTATGGCTATAAAATCAATATCTGGCAAAGAACCTATGGTTAAAGACCATTAGTGCAGTTTTAGTGACAAATACTGGTGTTCTTGACAACATGCATAAATGTCGATTAACTTGACTCATTTTGTGAACTAAAACAAAAAAAACATTTCCTGTAAGCAGACCACTTTGTTCTCAAAAAATTCATGATGAATTCCCCCCGAAAAGAATACCATAAAGAACTTATCCAGGAATAACATAGTATGCAAGATTTTGTCTTAGACAGGCCAACCAACACTTCATAAATTTAAAATGGAAAATTCATAAAACTAAAATATTTCAGTGCTAAGGAATATTCCAACTTCCAGGTCAAAAATGTGACTGTAATTAAAACTTGTAACTAAGACAAAAGCTAAAATAGTGCTGCATTCATGTGTGTTATTGCATTTTCTGTGTAGTTTCAGGTGTTTATTGGTGACTGGCTAACTAAAGAGTAAATTACCACTAAGCCTAATCTGCATGCCCTGGTGCAAGGAACCAGTGCATTAGTTCATACATCTTCAAGTTCTTTTAATATATACATAGGGAACGTCTGTTTTTCCCAAATTCCTTAACACTTACCCAAGATATTTCAGAGAGGAGTTTTCTTTCAGTCCTTCTGCTAGAAGCTCCGCCCCCACCGCTGTGATGTAATTGTTTCCCAGCCTATAACACAATTCCCGCCACATCAGGAGAGATTCCCCTTAGACATTGTAGCCTTCAGGAGCCCCGCGGGAAAGTCTGAACAGTCCATACAGGCAGATGATCCTCACTTTTAAGAGGCTACAGCGGGCCACTTACCTTAATGCCAAAAAATTCTGCTTTGCCTTGAGAAGTTCAGCAAAGTGCATCATGCATGCATCAGTTAGCTTGTTGTTGAAGAGTCTGTGAGAATGACATAATGCTCGTTTTAGTTTCTTTTATTATAAAGGCCCGATGATGTTACTGTTTTATTCTATTCCCTGCCCTCCTGAATTACATTGCTGGTTTGTCATCTCACTGTTTTCTAATTCACTGACATAAGGCTGTCAGATTAGTTACGGCACTAATCTGTTTATTGAATCTATCGGACAAATTAAACAATATATATCCAAATCTGTAGCCGAGGACTCCCTATAATTTCTCATGTGTAAATCGTAAGATTTTTTTCCTAGCTCTTTGAGCAATAATTAAGGGCTTTATTAATCTATATTGAGATAAATTCTAGACTAGGCTGTTCTTCCTTTAGCAAATGATCCAATAATTATCTGAAACACTCTTCTGCTGTCCCTTTTGTGAGGAACATTTTTAGTAGTTTATTAACTTAGTTTCTCTTTTGAAATTACAGCTATTTATTCAAATGACACAAATTCGGCATTATATGTTGTAATAAGTAAGTAGTTTGATTGTGCCATTCATTCAATCGAGAGTTAAATCACGGCAACTGAGAAAAATGGGATAAAAGGCAGCAAATATGATTGAGACGCCTACACGTTTTTAACTTGTCATAATTTGGTTTATGAAATCAGAAGCTGTTGTTAGTAAGGGGGGATATGAAGTGACCCCAGGTAAGAACCATTTAAATACTGGTTAAACTGGATAATACAAAGTAAGTAGATCACGTTACTAATGCAATATGGTGCACTCACGCAATCTTCTGGAAGTTCTCAAAATGAACAGCTTTCTCTGTGAGTTTCCGAATTCCTTCATCTGATATGTTGTTGTTCCTTAGACTAAAGGAAATTGAAAAATCGGTCACAGGAGGCATCGTGTTACACCAAAGAAAGCATTTAAGAAATCAGTTATGTGTTAAATGAGAACTGAGTCTAGTCACATTTCCTTTAAGGTAGTGGCTCTCAAATGTGTGGTCTGGCAACCCACCAAAAACCATTTGTCTAGTTCTGTGATATGAGGAAATTTACCAAAAGGGGGGGGGGGTTGGAGGGGAGTCCCCACTGATAAAACTTGCTAAATATTAATGTGGTAAATAAATATTAAAGCTTTATATTAATGCGGTACATTAATGTACCTCTTTGCTGCTGAGCCGTAAGCCACCAGACAAATTCCGTTGTATTTCTGATACAATGACAATAAAATCTCTTATCTTATCTTATCTTATCTTATATAACAGATTGCTGGCTATAATATTTGTCGAGCTGGGAGAGAAACACTCCCCTGGCCAGTGATTTGAAACTTTTTTTTTTTGGCACTTTCAGAAAATCATCTTGCGACCCCAAATTGAGACTCAGAATTTGACAGCTGCTGGGACGAATCCAGCAGTCGGATTACGGAGCGACTGAGGGAGACTCGCGGCCTTACTAGAGTGAGTGGCAGACCCTAATACACGGCAGCAGTTGCTCCACGCCCACATCCCCCACGCAGTTGTAGTCGAGCTGCAGGCCCACGGGGCTGCGCAGGTGCTGCAGCACGTAGGCCAGGGCGCTGCACTCCACAGGCCCGATGTTGCAGTAGGTCAACTTGAGGTGCTCCACCTTGAGCTTGGCCACAGAGCGCCGGGCCATGGCGTCATCCTGCATCTCGTAGATGCACTTTATCAGCCAGACGAACTCCGGCATGGCGTGCATGCTCTTCTTCTCACCCTGCACTGGCCGCGGGATGGAGCGGAAGTGCCTCTGGATGCCCCGGGAAAGGCCTCTCACCACCTGCTGACGCTTTCTGTCCAGGACGGATGCTGGACACGACTGGATGAGAAGAATGCGGTGCCGCTGCGACAGCAGTCCGGACACGAAGGTAGCCATTATCTGTAAATTGGGCCGCTCGGCTTCTGACGTGTGTCCTTTGAGCTCAGGGTCCTGATGGGGCAAACATGGCATGGAGCAGACACCAGCCAATGAGGGTCTCCGTCTGCCCCGGGGGCAAAAGAGCTGAAAGACGGCCGAGCCGTCAGCGTCGTCCCCGAGGATGACGAAGAGAGCGGCGAAGAAGCACTGCATGGTGACATGTAGGAACTCGTAGTGTTTCTCCAGGGCGGAGAAGCTGTCGCTGCGGATCAGGAAGCCCGTGGCCACATCGTTGTCCGTCACCCCATACCTCTGTAGCTCCCCGTCCGAAAAGACGTAACAGGCCGTCTGGAGGCCCCGCAGGGCCAGTCGGCCCAGACGCAGCACCACACCCGCGTACCCGCCGGCCCAGCCGCTCGCCAGGGGGAGGCGCCGGGGGCAACGGCGTTGCAGGAAGTGCTGCAGGATCATGATGTAGACGTCGGTGAAGGTTTGCAAATGGCTGCCCTCGCTGCCTAGCAGCTCCCTGTAACACTGTGAGACGATCCAGCAGAGGACCGGGACGTGGCAGAGGCTGAAGAGCGCCGTGTTGCTGTGGAGAGACTGGAGGACGTGGCTGGTCAGACCAGGATCGCGGTGCTGCTTCCGCAAGAAGCAGTCGATTCTCTCGGGGGAGAAACCCTTAAGCGTCACCTCCTTGCGGATATACGTCCTAAGTGAGGCATCGAAGGCCTCCGGCCGGCTCGTCACCACCTTCTGCACGCCCTGCATTAGGCAGCCCTGCAGGAGGCTGAACAGCAGGGCGGCGACAGAGGCCCTCTGCATGGGGCAGCAGACGCGCTTCTCGTCTGTGAAACGCAGGCGAAACTCGTCCAGCCCATCAAACGTGAAGAGCACCCGGTCCGGATGGTCCAGGATGAACTGGAAGAGCGGCTCCGGGTCCCGGTCGGGCCAGCAGCAATGTGAAAAGAGGAGGTCCCTGACGGACAGCTCCTGCTCCTCCGCACTCAGCCGACGGCAGCTGAAGGGAAACAGGAGGATCCAGTTCTCCAGTGTCACCTCCCTGGCCCAAAGCAGGTGCAGTCTCTGCAGCAGCGTGGTCTTCCCACTGCCCGCCTCTCCCAGCAACAGTACCATGTCGGCATCCTTGTTGAGTGTCCCCACCTGGCCCAAGATGTCCTCCAGCCCAATGGGCCGCTGGGCCTCCTCACCGCCCTGGGACACCTCCAGCAGGCCTTCCGTGTAGACGTCGTCCAAGGACAGGCTGCCTGTGCCTCCGTAGGTGTTCAGGAAGTGGGACTGCGCAGCAACAGAGCTCCTCAGCTTCTTCTGGTATTGTAGAAGCTCTGGGAAAGTGGAGAAAGGTGGACTTGATATCAGGAGACAAGCCAGCACCGAGGTGGCACCAACACACAGGCAGGCCTGGTCCAGCTGGTACAATAAACACAGTATACCGGTAGAGTTCATCAGGTGACCTTTATGGTCAATGAAGGCCAGGAATCATGAAGCCCAAGAAAAATGGAGACATGTACAGGGGTGAGGCCACGGGGACATTGACCCAAGTTGAAAGCTGATTGGTCCCTGATGAGCCCCCTTCCCTGCCACTCATCAATTCAAAACATACCATTGGTTAACGATAATGTTGGTCCCTCTATATGAATCATGCTCTCCACCTTAAAATATCCTAGATTCACCCCTGGACAAGGTATATTTGTTATAGTATGTGAAAGACGTAAATGACTTCAGTAGTGCTTGGAGTGAGGGTCACGGGAGCAGCTACCTGCAGGGAAAGTCGTCCCTGAGTCCGGCCACTTTAGCGGTTTCTCCACCCGTTCAACAAACTGCAGCAGAGCTTTTGCCGCACATTCGCCCTTCGAACCCACCAGGTCCAGAAGTCGCCTCGCCTATGTGGGTGAACAGCAGGACTCTCATTAACACCACCTTACACTGCCATTTTGAATACAAAGCAGAATGCCACTTTGTTTAGGAACCAGTACACAAATTCCTGTTTCGGGTCAGTTAGGCAGAATTTGACCCAATCAGGAAGAAGACCGCAAAGGATTAGAACCACGAGGTAATGGAGAGCAGCTCGGCCGGGTCGTCGCCTGCGCTTGCCTGCTGTGCGGGGGTGTTGATGGGCAACTGCACTTCGTCGCAGTCGTAGGTTGTCAGGCTGCCCGACTCCACCAGGGCCCGGAGCGCTGCCCCGATGCAGGGCCGCAGCCGGACCACCAGGCACGGCCGCTCGCTCCACAGCGTTTGGGAGGCTGTGGAGGGGCTAGGCCTGTCAGCTAGGGGAGGACCACCGGCGCTCGCCCCCAGGGACAGGCTCGCTTTCTGAGCCCCGGGGAGGACCTGATCGAGGGCCCCCAGGAGGAGCCCGCATGCCTCCTCGCCTTTGCTGGCCACCATATCCAGCAGCTCCCTGGCGCTGGTACACAGTGGCCGGTTAGGCGGCCGCAGGGTCTGGTAGTCCTCCCACTGCAGCACGTCCCAGGCCAGGAGCCGGTCCAGCACGCTCTCCAGGATCTCGGCGGTGCCGCTGGAGCACAGCACCTGCAGCAGCCCCACCCTCTGCTGCTGGAGCAGCCGACAAGCACTCATACCTCATACCCACCCCGGCTGCCGGCTGCGGGCTGCGGGCCAGACCTCACCCTATGGCACACCCAGGTTTTCGCGGTCATGTCCCATCATGGGCACTCGCTCTGGCACCTGTAGGGGGGGCATTTTCAATAGGTCTTCTCAGGTGTACATTAAGGCAATGGAAAATACTGAAGGTACAGAGTTTTTCAGCGTGTGATGAATGTTTTCTCTGCAGTCATTCACAGCCCTTGCCTGCCTGCTTAAACCAGTTCACCATATCAAATGGGCTTAACTGATCACAACTGGTCATCATTGCCCACAATTAGACTTGCCACATCTCCTCAGGTGATATGAACCAGATATACTCTGAGATCATAATCAGCAAAGACCAATGCACATGAACAGATAGGTTATCCATGCAAAAACCAGCTGAGGATTTTTTTTTTCCTTTTGGATAATATACAGCAGTTCTTGATAACGTTTTTTTTTATTCTTTATGTCCCTTAAAACAACATTATTAACACTGTAATGTTCCAGTCAGAAACACCGATGGGATTTTCATTTTAAACGCTGAGGTTCATTCTTCAACTATTCTAAACAAAAGTTAGAAATGCGCGCTACTTTTCTGTTATTTCCCGTATTTTTATGATTGTGAAATGTAACATTTTGGTCCTGACTACAGTTTACGTCACCATTTTATTTCGAAACCAGACAAATCATTAAAAAATGTGAATAAACGAAAGTGCGGTTAACCCACATTATAGGTGGCTTACGAGTAACGTTATTAAAAATAAGGATAAATGCATTTTTATCATTAATAACGACTTTTTCATAATAGAAACTGTAACATAAAAGGAACAGTAACTTACTTTTTAGTAAGCGCTCACACAGGCTGCCATCGCTCCGCAAAACAAACGACATGAATCCGATCTGCGGACGGTCGCACCGTCGGTTTCGGCTGAGCTCTGCCTACTTCCTCGTTCCTGACACGGAACAGTGATCACTGGGCTGTTGTCTCGGTAAAAATGCTGCTGCCAAAAAATTATCCTCATCTGACCGCTGCCAATTTCACCGTGCATGACCAGAAAGGCTACTTGTAATCTGACTTAGAGCAAATGCTTGGAATTGCATGGCCGCATTATTAATATTAAGAAGTTAGAATTTGTGGTGTAAATGTTTGATTCGGTTAACAAAACAACGTACATCTATAGACAATACGGACGGTTTGTTTTACTTCAACGAAGTGTGTTTAGTTCAGTAAGTGGAGAACCATAGACCAGTTAACACCTGATACTCTCTGAGGTATTGTTTCACTGGACAATCATTTAAACTTTTAAATCAAAACCATTAAACAAATAAGTGATGAGTATAAACTACAGTTTAATTAGGATCAGATTGGCAAGCTGGCAGCCGGTTCGGCTTTCATCATCTCTGTAGGCTACACTTTTGATGTTTCTTTTCTTGAATTCCCCGTGACTGCTTGGCTTGGACTACTTCCTCCGAGGAAACGCGCTTTATGTTCACTTCCCATCTTCTGAGCGGCGATTTCGGGTTTTTTTGATCCTTATAATTAAGCATTGGGAGTTTCGGCGTCTTTACGGGAACGTTTATATAACTAACAAATTGTCATTTTGATACTGGCCGGGATATGGAAATGAAGAGACAAGGACGTGATGTAACCTCCGATGAGCTTATCTCACCCCAGAGATTTAAGGTTTCATCGAGAAATGAGTTAATGTCACCCTCAGAACGAAGCTGACTTTATTTCATTGTTCGACAACTGCACCACTGCGACACAACAAAACTAAAGAAAAAATGATCAAATGTGCACTTTGTTCACTGACTTTATTTTTTACATTATTTATATATTTGTTTATTTGTTTTTGCAAGTGTTGTTGTTGCAATTGTACCCAATATATGCCTGAATTTCTAAAACATGTCAAGAGCCTTATTACGGGTATAAAACTATATCTTTTAAAGTGGAGATTCCTGGTCAGAACAATGAACCAAATTAATTAATGTCAGTCTAAAATGGCGTAGGTCCTATATTAGATATATAATAGATATATGGGCCTATATACAGAACTGTCAAAGAACAGCTACCGTATAGGTTTAGTAACGGGCCTGTTCAGCTGCCCAGTAACCAGTGCTCGAAATGGACTGGTACCTCTTCAGAGTACCGGGAACGTTTCTTGCGTATTGGCACCTCTACCGGTAAAGAATAACAAGTTCAGTGCTAGAACTTGTTTTTTTTTCACACTTAAAGCATGGCCAAAACACATTAGAAACGAATTAAAAACTGTACTGAAATTTCCGCAAAGGTTAAATATAACAAATATTAAGTAGGCCTACAACGCATACAAACAGCGGCCAGTGTTTGATACAAATAGACACACGGATACAATGGATACTATGTCGGATACAAATACTGATCTAACGCCTTGTCAGTTGGTTGCGGTCCGGGTAATAAAAGGAACAAACGATACATGGGATCTTGCCGACCGTTAAGTTAAAAAAAAAACTTCAGATAAGTGTGATGAGACTGCAATGCTTGTGGAAACCGGTAGAGGATGCAATCGTGTTGAATTTCAGCCAGATCAATGATGCATCGGGGAATTCCTAAAATATTGCATCGTATTGTTTGTAGTTCAGTAGGAAAATTAAGGAAGTAGCAGGGTAGTTTCTAGTTATTGAAAAGATCAGCGGCTAAGTTAAGCTTAACTGGGGCTTGACTTTTTTTTTTTTTGAAGGAAGCTAATTGGCATCGGGGCTGCAATACTCGGGGCTAGAGGTAAAATACTCGGAGGTATAGCCCCGAGTCATCGGACCTAACGACGCCCATTGGAAGTACATTTATTATAAACGTATTTCAGAAAGAATGAAAAATGCAGTTTGGGATTAACTTTCATGCTGTATTGTGATAACTGGTGGAAGCAAAATTCACTTTGTCTGGAGGACCCTTGTGAATCTGGTGCCTATGTACTTCATGTTCTTTCTCCATTTGTATTTATTTTTGGACAAATAGTGTATTTTGAGTCCTACAGTGCTCACAATTATAGGTAGGCTATAGGCCTAATTATGTGGCTAAACAGATCTAATATACTAAAGTTCTGAGAAATTGGCAAATGTAACAGGCATGAAGAACAAATCAAATCAACACAGTTGAAGAACAAATGGAAAAGGAGGAGAAGCTGCTGGGTTATGATCAGTGCCGAGTTACTTCATGACGAAATTAAAAAAAAACCAAGATGCTGTAACATTCAGGCGTCTTAATTCTGTCTGCTTCTCCTAAACGCGGCTGTGGGGGAGGGGCTCTGCCCATCCAAAATGGCATAGTGTGCAAAGTACGTACTGTTTTTTATCAGACACTTTTATCCAAAGCAACAAACTACTAGCACTAGCCTTCATATGCTAACACCATTGCATGCTACTGGCAATGCAGCCTAACTGCATCTCTCTGGACTGGGGCTGGGTGATATGACCTCAAATCAATATCTCGATTAACTGAATATTTTACCTCGATTACGATTAATGAATGATTATTTCATTTTTGGGGGTTTATTTGCCCTCGTCTATCACCGACAAGGTTTGTACTGTAAATATGCTCAACTATTATGGGATATTTTTTGTAATGGAAGATTGTATGTCTTTATGAAGGAAACATACAGATGAACTATTCCTGGTTATTTATGGAATATTTTGAACAACTGAAATCAAAGCACCAATCACTTGAAAAGAAAACGTCTCATGAAAAAGGTCACATTTTAGTTTTAATGTAAAAGCAAGCTCCCTAAAAAAGTAGAAAATAAAGTGTTTGCATTTCTTGCAATTAAACAAAATAAATTACAGTGGGTGAAATTGATCGCAATAATTGGATGATCATTATAACCGATTTTTTCTTTTTTTCTTCTTCATGTCTCAGGCAGATTACCATCTAATTGACATTTGTATAGGCCTATTTATTACATGAATATAAGATAATAAAATGGACAGCGTCACTAGTGAATTTTATCGACTCTTTCAAAATACTGTACAGCTGTTTCAAACGATTTTCAAATTACAGTACTGTACAAATTAAATTACTGAAAAAAGAAAGATTCAAATATGCTATAACATAGTACAGTACTGTAGATAAAATATAGCTTATTGTAGTTTCGGTACTGCATCTAGTTGGGTAGTTTTTGGCAGTTTATCATAATCTTTGATGAAACTATATTCGGAACTGAGAGAAAATATCTTTCATTTTCCCGACATGTTTTCTGTGCTCGCAGCATTAGCCTCAGGTAGCTAACCAGAAGCAGACCGGGTTACTGCAAATCAAAGTTGGCAAGTAAAAAAAAAAGAATTACTTAATTTGATGTTTTTCCGTGTTATGTATAAAAAGACCCTAAATGTAAGCAGACTACTTATAAGTGAATTATTTACACAGTACTTGTAGAGGAATGACTGTGTCCCAAGCTTTTTGATCCATATAAGCGGCTGATCACTATAACCGTGATCACTATATGCGGTTTCCACAGTATTTTAAATTTTGCTAGTGTTGAAACCAGATTGGTGGTATTAGGCACCCTTTGGTAGTTGAAACGTTTTTTTTTTTTTTACCTCTTTTTGTCACTAAAACTACAATGTGTCCAAATTACAGACATGACATTTTTCTTTGGTATACAAGCTGCTGAAATGAAATAGTCAGCTCGGTGTTTGAGTTCACCTCCATGCTGCTTACACGTGGCAGACTGAACGGGGCGGAGTCACGTGACAGGACACGCGGTAGTATGTTTTTAAGGGGACGGTACATGAACACACTGGGGAAAGTATTAACAGATTAAAAATATATATTTCAACTCAAAGTAACCAACATGGGCAAGGTTAGGTCGATTAGAGGTTCTGAATGTCGCTTTTGATAATTGTCCAGCCCTACTCTAGACTTCAGGAGCAATCCCAAAGATAAACTGCGCAACATGCAAACTTCAGATGCACAGAGCAGAGGCAGGACCCAAACACCCAACCCCGGAGGTAACAGTTCAATCCACAGAGCCATGCCACATGTAGAGAATCATTAATGAGCAATTATTTAATAAATAAAATTTGCAGAAACATGCGATTTGGATTTCAAAGAAAGCAAGCCAGTTTGGATGCCAATGTTTGACACCATGTCAAAATGCAGTCACTCTAATGTAAAAGTATTGTGGTTATTTCATGTTGGCAGCCCAGTCTTGTGATACTACATGTATGGGACTTAATAGTGAATCTACATTGTGGGCTGTTTGAGGTATTCAGAGATGCTGTGTTTGTCTATTTAGTGAGTATACAATGCCGGGCCTGTAGACACTGTTTGTTATGAGGCACTTTGTGTGTCCGTATAAAAGCCATAATCTTCAGTTAAATCTTACATGAAAACACAAACACTGTTTGTTCCTTGGATTGATGACCATGAAGTCTCTTCTTAGTTAGATAGCCAGAAATACAGCATTGGTGCAGGGATGGGGGGTGAGGTGGCCCACCGATATTTGTATGAAGTTTCAGGTTTGAGAGAGTCAAGTGAATCTGTGAAGAGTGTGTAGTTTGTCACTAAAGGAAAGCCGCAGGAGCCTCACACAGTGATCAGTAAGGCGAGTTCCGTCTAGACACTTTGCCAGGTAACCACCCCCCCCCGGAATTTTAAAAATTTGATGGATCTGTGCATCCAAGATTTACTGCTCCATTACCCAGAGACATGCAATTCCACTGAGACAACAAATGAAACAAATGAAAATCACAAATGAAAGTCCTGAAGAAAAAAAAAAGACATAAACAAACACAGGAGCAACTGATTTTTTCAGACCCCCAGGGCAGTGCTGTAGGTTTCACATTTGCACTTTATACATCTAACTGATGCTCCAGCAGTGGGTAGCTGGTTACTTTACAGTGGTACTAAATGGGAGAAGTGGGGATTTGGGGAATTGGCCTTGCAACTGCATGGCTGAAGATGCAAATCACAGCTTGTGGG